TAGCCACTTCTATCTACAAGGGAGGCTAGAGACTGTAGTTGGTACACATCGCCATGCCCAGCAATATAGAGAGTCTGCTGAGAAATAGAAGGGGAGGATGGATATAGAATGAATAACTAGGGAGGGTTAAATGGATAAAGAGAAAGTAATAAAAATGACATCTGGGTGAGATAGCACAGCAAGCTTGCCTTCAACGTATCCCTCGCTTCAATCACGAAGTAATGAAAGACATTTGTAAATAGAGAATGAAGATAAATCCAGGCTCAAAGAGCAAGGCAAACATCTCGATGGACCCAAAATGAACAGAAACAATGTGAGTGGTTAGGAGCAAAGGCCTCATGGGCTCCAGGTCTGGAAGTGAGCAGGGTGGAGACGGGGAGCTCAGTTTTGGGGAGAAAGGACACTTTAGAGGATCCTGGTGAGAAAGAACCAAAGGCAGGCTCGCTGGGAACACAGCTGCCCACCCGTTGCTGGGGACCGTGGATCACAAGGAGCTGAGGACCCAGGGGGGTGGGTGATGGGAACTGAGAGCCACTTTCCTGACTAGGAGTCCAGCCCAGACACATGCTGCCTCCTTCCCTGGGTCTGCAGCATGCCTGGTGGCATCAGATAGCAGCATCTCAGAGCACTATTATCATGTCTCTTGGTTACCACAGATGTGGCCAACAACTTCTGGACTGCTGAATAGGGGGAGAGAGAGAACGAAACCTAAACACTGGCAAACAAAACAAAACAAACAACACGACAACAACAACAAAACAACACTTCTACTCAAAACGAGCCTGCCTGCAAAGTAGGTTTCCAAAACGTGAAGAAATCTAATTCCGAAAGAAACAATCAACAAGTTTACTAAGCAAAGCATGAATTCACTCCAGATAGAAATTAAGTTTATGGAACAATGTGGCAAGAACTTAAATCAATATGTTCAGGATGGTCAAAGGGAAAAATGAAGACATAACTTCAAAGCTAAAAAAAATTACAGAACAAAACCTTCACGGTGTCTCAGGGTGGCCGAATTGGCAGTCAGACATGGTAAGGGCATCAACATTTATTGTCTCAAGGTGGGAGCAAGACCCTCATTCCTCCATGATACAATTTGTGCCTGAAGATGGTTCACGTAATGGCCTTGAGATGCCCCACATTCGCTACTCTAAGCTGAGGCCAGTTTTTACCTTCTGACCTGCCTTTTACCACAGATTTGCTCTTCCGTGACCAGTCTCTCCATCATACTTTCTACTCTTCAATTTCCCCTGTTGCACAGAGACCTCATTTCTGAAGCTTCCCATCCTATTGCTCAAATCAGACTCCTGGACTGGCTCCAATTATTTCCTACATCCCAATTCTTCCTCTTTCTTGGTTGATTTTTTTCACTTTCTGATATGCCTGCTAAGAATGTTAACGGATGGTAAATTTTCCGGATTCTTGAATTCTAAAAATATCACTATGTGTCCTCATAGCTAGAAGAATAGCTTGGCTGGATATAGAATTCTAGATGGAAAACTAGTTTTTCCTTAGGGAAAGATCATCAGCCCAATACCATTGAGCACCCGGCATCCAAATTATGGTCTCTAAATATCATTTTCCACTGAAGGAATCGGGGCTCCTTGGAGAATTGGCTGATTAGAGGTTTAGAGTAGGAAATTTTCAAGGTAAGCCTGGGACATCTGGTCATTACCAGAAAGTAAGGAAGCAATTAACTTGGATTGGGCAGGAATATTTCATAGCCGCTAGTTACAGAAATACTTTAGCCAAGGCCATGAGATTTCTAAATACTGTAACCTATCTATATATTAAAAAGAAATGGAGAAATGCAAGCCATTCACCTCTCTGTAAGATGAAGAACAAAACGGAGATTAAGACAATTGATGCCATGAACCACACCGGCACCTTCTCACTGTGCTGGGAGAACATGCTGTTGGACCAGAGTCAACCTTTCTTGGTGGTGATGTGGTTACATCCAAACACTTAAATATGCATGCCCTTTGGCCCAGCAACATCGCTTCCAGGACTTTGTCTTATATAAACAGACGTATTAAAAGTCCGCGTAACTGTACAAAGTACATGGACGAGAATCTACATTGCATGATAGTGAGAAGCTGGAAACAACCAAATCCCCACATAAATGATGGTGCACGCACAGAACGAGATGCTCTGGCGGAGCAGGTAAAATGAGCGAGGTAATTTGTCAGGTAAGAAAGAATGTCATATTTTTAAATGAAAAAAGCGAGTTGCAGGGGAATGTTAGGTATGTCCCTATTTTTAAAGCATTTCCAGGTACATAGAAGAAATGTGTTCTCACACTTCCTGCAGCAACCGTGGTGCCCGATGGCTGTTGGTGGTATGGCTCTTTAGACGAAAAGTGTCCTTAACACGTTTTTGAACTGTTGAAATTCTTACAACTATCGTGTATTTTATTATTGGGGAAAAAATTAAATAATGAACAAGGAACATAAAGCTTTATTTAATAAATATAATCAGAAATTTCAAAATACTTTATTCCATATGTAGCCAATTAAAGGAAAAAAGAGAAGAAAATGTTTGAAGAGATTGAGTCAGGAGCAGGGAATGTTGGGGAGATGCGAGCAACGGAGAAATGGGAAATGAACAAACGCAGGTGGGGGCGAGAGGGGTGCTCGGGGACTCGTGGCCCTTGAGGTACCACCTGTCGTGGGCTCACCTCATAGGTCGCTGGGGGCTCCCATTCCTCCTTGGCAATGACACGTGCTAAACTGACATTGTGGAATGAGTCAGGACTCCAGAAATTCAGAAGTCCTTTCAAAACCAGGAAAGCTGTCTCCTTAACTATGACCATCAGGATTTGGGTACCCCCCCACAAAAAAAGAATTTGGCTGCACGATTGTAAGATCTAAGAGAATAATTTAGTTTTTCTGAATAGACTTTAAGATCAAGGCCATTCTTTTTAACTAGGTCTTAGCATCCATCTGCAAAACACTCAAAGCCTTTTATTTTTAATTTGAAATATTGGGTTCTGTTCCGATGTCTCCAAATCACATTTGAAAACAGTTTACTTCACACTTCATAATTTTTAAATCCACGGGGAAAGAATGGGAGCATCAGGTCTGGTCATGGGGACACCAAGTGGTGAGAAGTCAATAAAGCAGTTCAAAGGTAGGCGTTTGGGCCCCTGGGGAGGTATGCTTCGCCCTGGCACAGAGCAGGCGAGCCTGGATAAACCCACATGGTGCCGGGGCGTCTGAGGAGGGGACTGTGACTCAGACACGGTCCTGGACCACCGGGAAGGGGACCATGGGAAGGCTGGCCAAAACAATGCTAAACACAATGTCACGACATAAGTCTATCACAGGAGTACATGGCCGAGTGGAGGGGGGGGCGCTGCTGGGGTCTCCCAGGAAGATGTAGGGGACACAGCAGCAGGGTCAGAGCTCATCTCCGGCTGACTCCTCACAGACTGATTCTGATTTCCTAAGAAGCATCTAAAAAATGTTTGAATAAGACGGGCCCGAGGCCCCGCAGCGCCTCACAGAGGGCACCTAGGAGCGGCAACAACATGGACTCCAGTCAGAAAGCTCAGTTCTCCAGTCTTTATTAAAGCTAGGTCCTCCTGCCGACAGCTGGGGCAGGGCAGAAGCAGCTGGGCCCCGCAGGGGCGCCGAAGGTATGCATGGAGGGATGTACCAGGAGGGGTGGCACAGACCCAGACCCCGGCCACATGGGGCCAGCCCACCTTACCCTTGGCCCTTCCTGAGGCTCCAGTCCCACGGGGAGAGGAGACCAGGACAAGGACCCCAGCCCTCCTCACCACCCCACCCCACCCCCTCACCCAGCCAGGCTAATTCTCACCACCACCATCCAGGCCCTCTTCCCACCCACCGACTACTGTGCTTCCTCCCCCCAGCCCTTAGCAGCCTGGCTGCTGGCTCTCAGGCCCCAAGGCCACGTCTACACTAAAACAGAAGGAACTAGGTCTAAAAGGGAATGCAGTTGCTTCAAAATCTGTTTCCTGGCCCCACTCATGCTGGCCAGAGGCATTAACACCGGGAGGGCCTCACACGAGCCATGCCTCAGCTGCCTGCCCAGTGGTTCCCAATGGCCCAGCCCAGAGGGTAGGACCACTGGCCCGGTGCAGGCCTTGCATAGTTGGGTGTTCGGTTTGTCACTGAGCCATGGGTTCAGGACCTCACCCACAGAGGTGGGCCGCCAGTGTGTAGACTGCCTGCGCTGTGAAGTGGGAATCCAAACAGAAACACTGCCTGCTTCTGGTGTAGAATGACAGAAGCAGAGTTAAAGGGACCTGCAGATGTCATAGGGCCCTGACTATGGGATGTGAGAAATGATCCTGCCACCAACCTCAGTCACTTTACAGTGGGTTATTAAATCTAAGTGAGCGTCGGGGCTCAGAAGGGTAGGGCCTCCTGTGTCCACCTGCTCCAGGAGAGGTGGCAGCCCAGGGGGTTGAAGGCTGGGGCCCAGGGCCCCCAAGGATCTCTGAGCGTGCCACCTCCAGTGCGGAGGTGAGTACCAAAGGACTTAAAGGGAAGGCTGAGGCTGAAACCGCCCCGCCTGACAAGCACCTGGCCCATCTCGGTGCTGAAGTGGGCTGAGGAGAGTAGGTGACTCCCGAGAATAAGGCTTCAAATTCCCTCAGGACCGCGAACACCTGAGACCTAACTGCCCCCCTCCCCGCGCTGGGGCCGCAGATTTGGTTTCTGGCGTTTGCTCCTCCACCCGGATCTTCAGGCCATGCGAGAGATGGAATAAATACCCTCAGTCGAGTCAGAATCGAAGCTGTCCCAGTCATCTCGTCCCCCTGGCTGGGAAGGAAGACTGTCCCCTGGAAACCTGCAAGGCTTCCCTGCCTCCCCGCGCAGTCCTTAAAACTCCCCGGACGTCCGCAAACCACCAGAAGGTCCCTAGGTCTCCCACTGAGAGATGGGGGAAGTCGCTGCAAACCCACCAGAGTAGCCGAGGCTCGGCCCTCCGCCACCCCGCCCTCCCACACTCGCTGTCGAACCCGGTTCCAGACAAACCGGCCACTGGTCCCGCAGGCCACCCAGATCAGAATCTGAGCAAAATAAATTATATCGCCCGCCATCCCCACCGCTTGGCTTCACAGAACCGACCCTGGGATGCTGCAGGTTTAGCCGAGGTGGCCGCCCCGGCCCTCGCTTCCTCCGCGCGGCTCTCCTCTGCCCGTGCGCCCCCCGCACGACCGGATGGGCTGGGCGGCTCGCCTCCGGGGCCGGGCAGGAGGGAATCCCGAGACCGGGGCTGAGGGAAGGCACCGCACCAGGACTGGGACCCTGAGCC